ACACAATGATTGTCGGCACATGCGCAACATTAAGACATGAGACAAGATCAGGCATCTAGCCTTTTTTTTCTTCTCTATATCACGTAATAATTTTCATAAGATTTCGACTAAACCGAAGTCAAAGACCTACAGGTGTTTGACGTTAGCATCAAAATGAATAAGTCATAAGTTGAGTCGTAATATAATGGAAAAAAATACATTAAATGTGCTCCATACTATAAACAAGAAAGCAGTAATACCAATGGGCAAACCTTCCTGGTATTTGATCTTACGAAATATCTTTTGAAATAAAAAACGAAACATCCAAAATATAAGTAACGCCGTGAACTGCATACAACATGTAGTCCTTGGGTCTCCCCTCAATACTTACTCACCAGAACAAAAATCAAACATAACTTAATAACAATCAATCACTTTAAATATTCACATGTAGATTTTCAAAAAAAGAAAGAGAAGAAGAGGTACCACTGCACTTCGTGCGTTTTTATGATAACTACTCTCTGAGAAATGGGAGGTACTTTGCTTTGTGAACAGCTATGTTTACCGTTTGGAAAAGAATACTTCTTCCTGTGTGTCATGTAATGCATTTGGTGCATAACATGAATAATTATCACATAATTTTGAAGAGCACATAAACAGTACATCGTTAGACCCTTTTCGAAATGTATTCAAATTCATACCCGTTTACCTATCGACGAGCTATTACATTCATCTGTTATATCTCCATAGTCAGAATGCATCTTGCATATATTGTCGCTAGGTAGGACAAACAATATGGCTTGCCCTACCTAGCAACACATAAAGTATACAATTCACATTCTGACTATTGAAATACAATTATTTGTAACAGGTGAATGAAGTATGCGTAACAAGGCACTTATTGACAAAGATGTAATAAGCATTAAATTTGATTACATTGCGAAATGGTCTATTGGATTACATTAGGAAAATGACCTTCTGGCTTCACAATTTGGAACAAAATGATCTCTATTTGCTCAAACACAAATTGTATCTACGAACGTGCTTCTTGTGCTCTGGTGCATGATTTTTGGAATTTATGAACAAATTATCCATTCATGAACAGCTTTTAGCTATAACTTACTTAAAGTAGGCTTTAGAAACATCATTTGAATTGTATTCCATCAGTTGCTTTAAATCTGCAAAGTTGAACGTTAGATCTATGATTTTATCTCCTAATTCAGAAATAATAAAATAAACAAAAGATATTATCCTCAAGAATATTCAATAAGACAACTTTCTTCATCTTCTTAGTTATACCATAGTACTGCTTAATATGACTGTGATAAAATTGATTCATGTAATTGTATATATATATATATATATATATATGTGTATATATATATATACAAATATATAACATAAAATCTAGTAAATCTCTTTAATAATATATGAAAAACAGACAATTATAAAGATTGATTCCCTGGATATGATATATCTTTTTCAAACATAAGCCTATCAAAATCAGTTCATGAGAAAAAATTATACAATAAACAGTGAATTCACAAATCAAGTTTATAAGCGAAAGTTAAATTGTGGCCTCAACAATTTGGAGAAAGTCAAAATTTTAAACAAGCACTTGCTTCTGTTTTCCCCATGTTTGTTTGGTTTTGTTTCTGGTTGTTTTGGTATTTTCGAAAATCAAATTCTGAGCAGTACTCAGGAACTTGACATTAGTGTAATGTTTGCCAACCACATAGGGAACTATTTATTCCATTGTCATTTCATTATCATGGCAAATCTAAATTCCATGATAACACTTCTTACCTTTTGATTATCAAATAATAGAAATTAAAAACCAAAATGCTTGCCGGTGGTAAAGCTCTCATAGTTATTACCAGTGCATAATGAACGGTTACTAAAGTGACAGACTCAAGCAATTAACATAACTGATACAGTAATCTAAATGACGACCTAAGCAATCTCAGAACAAAACAGAACATAACGGAACAAATACAAACAACAACTAAAACCAAACAATGGAAATGTCACATTCCCATCATCAAGGTATAATCTTTTAAAGTCTTGGTGGTAAAACATATTAAGCTGTGACAAAGACCTTAATTCCCACCTATTTTAATTCTTCAATTCATTCAAGAAACCATTTTTGTTGTTACAATAATGCAATTCTGTCATTTCTGTCTTCAAAGGAATCAATCTATTCAACATTTCTCAAAATAGAAAAATCTCCTCATCAAAACATAATGATAATAATAATAACAAAGTATGTAAACAATAAATCACAGAGACAAATAAACAAATACATGAAACTTCATAAGTAAAAACTGGGAAAAAGAAAAAGATATAACATATACTTGTACATCGTACTCTAAATTTTGACCTACCGGTAATGAAACAAATTGGAAAATAATCATGACACCATTAACCTTTACAATTTACAAAAACTATGAATTAAGAGATTAGATTACAAATCATAACATATTAAACACTAATGAAGAAGGGAGAGATAGAGAGAGAGAGAGAGAGCTAGTGAGAAAGAAGTACGAGTGATTAAATATCAAGATTAGATGTATACATATATCATAACATACTAAATACAGAAGGAGAGAAAGATAAAGAGACAGAGCTAGAAAGAAAGAAGTACAGGTGAAAAAATATCAAGGCAATAATATTATAGGGAGAGAAAGAGAAAGAGAGAGAGAGAGAGAGAGAGAGAGAGAGAGTGAGTGTGTGCGTGTGAGAGAGAGAGAGAGGGGGGGGGGGAGGGGGTACATGAAAGAGAGTGAGGTAGAGAGTATGGTACAGAGGGGAGAAAGGGGATATCAGGAAAAAAAGAGAAGAGAGACACAAAAAGAATGAGAAAAAGAGAATATACAAAAAGAAAGAGAAAGAGAGATAGAAATGGGGGGGGGGGGGGAATAACATAAAGAATGAGGAAATCTGTACTACATGTTAACAAAAATCAAATTATGCACAGAATAACCAATACAAATTAAATCATTTACATTTCAGGTGGGAAAACAATGTAATAATTAAATTTAAGATTAAGATCTTTCTACAAAAACATTCTATTTTCCCCTAAAAACCTTACTTACATGAACTTTCATAATTGATAAAGACAGTCAGCATGGTTTTATGTATAATAAGTGTAGTTACCACAGGTAATTAAGTAGATTTCATATTAATGGCACAATTTCATTGTGCTATCATTTCTAATTCACAAGAGGACAAGTAAAAGATGAACATTCTTGAAATTAAGATTATCTAAATGTAAAATTCAATATCAATATGACCAGAAAAAAAAATCTAACAATTATTCGCAATCAGCTATCCATAACATTCACCAAATTTCAAAATTAACAAGAGACCTTTCTCAGTGCAAATCTATGCAACACTATAAACTATGTTTTATAACACGTAAACAAGGAAACAAAAATACAGTACTGATTTCTAATCTCAGCATTCAAGATTGCCAGCAAAGCCTACGACACAAACATTTTAAACAAAATTCAAATCATCTCCACTGTCCAAAAACTATCAAAACATACAACCTCATAATGACCCTGCAAAACGCTTTACAAAAATCTTTTGGTAAAAACAAAATTCTTTAAAAGCCAACACATACTTATCGCATAATGAGAAAGAGAGCTTTTGGCTTAATATTTTGACAATTTATAAAAGAAGAAAATTGCCAAACACAACCAAGAAATAATTCTTCTCTGTAGATGATTCTGTAGAGAGAAAAAAATGAATCATTTTGCATTAGAACTGTGTTGAAAAAAAAAGAAGAAAAAAATCACCATTTTCCAGCGAATTAGTCCATACCACTCCTTAAAAAAAAGATGAAATAGTTGGCACAAGGATCTGGAATGATGGAAAGGTGAAAAGATCTTTTCACCGATTTCAAGAGAATTTGACCACAAAATATAGATTTGATATATTACATCTTTATACAAACTTTCTACGAATTGACACATGATTTTTCTTGGTTCCAGTGGAACAATAATGGTGACAAGACTCTAAAAAGGCAAGACTAGAAAAAGCACTTATCTTTCCCCTAATTCCCCCATGAAGCAAGACCTGCCTGCTACAAACATTACAAGTACAACCTATTATGAACTGTTCATTATATTACTGTAGAGCTAAACAAAAATCGTGATAAAAGTACTGCATTTAGTTAAATTTACAAATCCATGATCCTAACCCACGCTGAATATTGTTTTAATTCAAGAAGCCACATGACATTTCTTTCATCCAAAAAGTGGAATGTACTAGGAGTTCAACCTCGAAAAAATTATTGAAAATAATAGCTTTGTTTTATCATAACAAATCTCATCTTTGAAAGCCATATCATTGGAATTGAACAAAAACAAGTGGAGATCATCTGCTCAAAACAAAGCTGCAAAAGATCATAAAACCCGAATATACTGCAAGAAGTAGATAAAGTGATACTGATAGGAATAGCTTGCAGCTCATGAACAGCTTACGAAGGAAACATAGTACCAAAAATTGTTTGTTTTTCAGACCCCTTTTATACCATACTTACACTGAAGACCCACTCCAAACCGACCCAAAACAGACCGATTCTGGGCTAATGAGGTTATGTACTCTTGGTTTCGGTCTGTCTTCGGTCTGATGTCGGCCTTTAAGGTGGGACTAGGGTATTAGTGAGCTCTAAGTCAAAGTAAACAATTGATTTGAGGGTCTGTTTGTACCAAACCCCTTTCTATATCAAGCCTTGCTAACATGATCACAACGTGATCACAACAAACGTGATTTCTATAGGGCATACAAAAGGGTATCAAAAGGGCCCTTGAATTGACTTTTCAAAAATAAATGCTAAAGTATTTCCTCTAATATCATCATTAAAAATAGAGAAAACTTTCAAGACAAGAAAAAGGATCTGTCCCATCCCATTGCCTTCACCCTGGATCTCTGTAATAAAAGAACAGGGGGGGGGGGGGAAGGGGTGTTTCACAAAGCCTGTTTTGATGACAAATGACCCCCCCAAAATCAGTGACAGATCTGCTGATAACCAATCAGAAGCAAGGATTTCAGTAGCTTATAACACAGACTGTCGTTTGCCACTGATGACAAGTTTTGCGAAACGGGGCCCATGTCTTTGTGTCCACTCAGAACCACGTCATGTGGGCCGTGCTGTCCAGCATGGTCTGAGTAGCGGGCAGCCCTTGACCGTTCTCCCAGTAGTGCTGGCAGGACAGCGGTAGCTCGGTGTGGGTCAGGGCCAGCTGGAAACACTGCTGGTCAAAGAAGTAGCGCATGTCCGTCCCCATCACGCTCTCCAGGAAACGACGGAATACCAGGATGTGGCTGAAATACGGAGCGAAACAAATTTGAAATGCATCAGAGAATAATAGTTCTACAGTATATAAACAGTGAAACCTGTCTATAAAGACCACCCAAGGGAGACAAGAAAAGTGGTCTTTATAGACAGGTGGTCTCTTTGTAGAGGTTCCTTTACTAAAGCAGGTTTGACTGTATATAAATTATTGATTTCAGTATATTTTTGCACACATAAGTAAAGAATTTGGAATCTTTAGTTCCTATCAAATACAGATGACATCATGTACTTAAAATTTATTGGGAAGAATATAAAATTTCCTTGGTAATTTGCCACTTATGACTTAGTAGAATCTTGTTTCTCATTTTAAGAAGTTTACTTATCTTTGGGATTCCCTCAAATAAGAAGGCATTAGCTATGTAATAAATATGCTCTAATAAAATTATATCTAGTGTATATGTCAAATTTGATAGCAACAGATTTGAAAATTCTAGGACAGATATGTTCTTGGCTCCCCCACCCCCCCCCCCCCTCATCTCCCTGGAGTAATTAATGCAAGATGTATATGTGTGCGAATGGGTCAGTATATCATAACAGATAAACCTTGCACCCTTCAGTTGCGAGGAACAACCGACCTAGTTTGAACCTTAAATCCATTCACTTCTGGGACCTGTTTCACAAAGACTTTTTTCAATGACAACTGAAAAAAATCAGTGACTGATAACCAATCAGCAGCAAGGTTTTCAGTAGCTTATAACAAAAAATATCATTTGTCACTGATGACAAGTTTTGTGAAACGCCCCCCAGACCTCTCTCTTTCCCATAGGCTTGATACTGGGACCACTCCATTCCCGGACGCAATGGGTCAAGCTGGTCATCCCATTTACCTTGTAGGCGCCGTCCAGTCGGTCAGGAAGTCCTCAACGAAATGATGGATGGAATCCGGTTTGGGGATGGTCTCGTGTTTTGACCGGCCGTTCATCTCTTCCAGGGTCGGGATGGTCTTGTAGTGGTAGATGACCGGATGAAGGAAGTTGGAGAGGTGGGCATCTTCCGGCTCTCCCACCGCCCTGTCGGATCTGAAGACGTCCTTGCCAGCGCCTAGGTGTGAAAGGGAAGAGGTATTGTAAGACACATGCTCCGGCGACAATTGTTCTGCTGTAATTTTCTAACACTCATCAATTTCCCATCTTCAAACCTGCACTTAACACTATACCAGACCCTAACCCTGATCCCAACCTTTAAAAAAAAATAGGTAATCTGTAGAAAACAGAAATAGAAGAAAAATAGATGAAGAATAATCGAAATAAGTTAATACCTGATGAATAACTTACAGAAATAAGGAAACTGTATTTATAAATATTAAAAATGTACTTTATTGCACTCAGGTACATCTTACAGGGGTCTTCCAATCTGCATAGAGGCAGAAATGAAACAGCGCCATCTACTGATGAAGAAAAGGAACCTCTAGCAAAGTCATTCGAGGCATGATAATCAAGTTACACAAAAGAGAAAGGGTGTTAGAGGGAAAGGGAGACAGAGAGAGCGAGTGAGACAGGGAAAGAAAGAGAGAGAGAGAGCAGAGGAGATGGGAGAGAAAGAGAGAGAGTAGCGGAGATGGGAGAGAAAGAGAGAGAAAGAGAAAGAGAGAGAGAGAGAGAGGGGGTGGAGAGAGGGATAGAAAGAGAGGTAGACAGAGGGAAGAATCATTTTTCTCTGAATCACTTGAAAACTCACCTGAAAAGTTTTTGCCATACTCCATGATCAGCACCAGTACTTCTGTATGGTTGTGACCCGATGCTTTTTGTAACCATGGCAACATAAGAGTTGGGAATTCCTCCAGATATTCAAACTCCATGGTATCCCTGGAAAGAGTGTAAAGTGGTCAGATTTACTGTTTATTCTTTCAGGCAAAATATATAGCGTCTAGTTGCATTCAAACAATAACAAAGTAAAAATATTTTACATAAAATAACCTAATAACGTAAGCGCGATAGCTCAGTCGGTAGAGCAGTGGTCTCGTAATCCGGTGACCCGGGTTCGAAATCAAGGCGATGCGCTAGTGCCCTTTGAGAAGGCATTAATCCTCATTACCAGGTCCCTCGGAGAGGACCTAAAGCCGTCGGCTGTTTGGTTGCTTACTTACAAGCATTTATGCTTTCTTAGCAGTCAGGTAAAATAACCCCCACCACCACCAATCATTGATTGTGGGAAAATGTATGTGTTTGTCACTTTTTCAAAAAATAACGTAAAGTGCATATACAAAAAATATGTAAAACATTACATGAATTTAAACGAGGCATACCAAAAGCTACTTTTACAAAAAATGCAGTAACATATTCTACTTCAGAAATTACTGTTCATTCAATGTCACAACTTAAATGAGAGAGGAGAGAATACCATATACTTATCTGAAAATACTTTTAAAAACAAAAATGGAAAATTATGTGTGAAATTATTATTCTTCAGGTTACAGAGAGAGAAAGTCACCTCTTGCATTCCTCTGTGTATACTTTTATCGTAAATTTCAAGTTTATAAAAACGAGAAAGGTGAATACGATCTACCTATTTAATTATTTTTGAGGCACAATTTCCTCAGTTATCATGCTCTTTATGTTGATTAGTTCAAAGTCATAACCCCCCCCTCTCCTTAAAGCCTGTCTGTACTAGTTTGGCCAGGGGGATTAGTCCTCCCTGCAAGGTCACTGACAGGTGGTTATCTCATCAAATCAGCTCTAAATTAACATAAGAAAAAGAGGATAATTGGGGACCAACAGGCACTGATTAGCCATTGTTTGCTATATAGCGGGTAGCTATAAAAAGTGCAGTGGGACTTTGAGAAAAAGAGTTGGTGCATACTTATGAAGCAGTATGACATCAGACAAGACATAGAACATCTGATAGAGCCCCGACGCCTCGTTTAATCGTCTGACCACGCGATCTAAGAGCTCCATCATCGGCAGTCTTATTGAGGGCCAGGGGACGCTGTGGTATCGCCACTCCAGCAGATGATGTAACACTCGGGCTGTACAAGGAGAAAACATAACCATGACATGATTACATGCATAATCAACACTATCATAGTAGAATAAGGCCTTTTAAAAAGAGATTTTGCATTGTCCTTTAGGTGCGAATACATGGGTCGCTTGGACGGAAATCTTTTTCTTTTTTTCCTTCCTCTTTGGGCTGATATTTCTCAGTGTTTAATGCTATAATACATATTTTTTTTTATTCATTAAACATTTTTTTCCTGAAAAAGGTCGCAATACAACATCTCTTTTTTTAACGCCAAATAATGATGATAATATTCTGGATTTATATACTGCCTAATACCTTTAAAGGGGAAGTCCCCCCTGATATCAAGTTGGTTTTAATAGTGGCAGAACGAGAGTGAAACAGAATGATTGCCTGAGCTATAAAGAAAGGAATACTTTCTAAATTACTTTGAAAACATATTTAGAAGTTGCATCATCATGTGACATGCACTATACAAGAGAAGTATTATTGCTTTCGTTGATATTTATCATTATCATTGTCTCATTTACGGAGCACTAAATCTCAATCTCTACAATGCTGTGACAGAGTGAGTAAATGTAATACAAGGTGATGAAGCGGATCCTAATCAAATGATTGGGTGAAAGCGTACATGTGACCAGGCATTTATTTTGCCTAACACGACATTTTACTAATGACCAGTCGGTAGTAAAATGACCAGTCGGCAAAATAAATGCCTGGTCATGTGTACGCTTTCACCCAATCATTTGATTAGGATCCGCTGTGTATTATTTGTTTATTAACTTCATCATGAATCTACTTATCCCTTTTCATTTTTATTAATGAAGTGAATTCTATTTATATATTTAGTTATGATAAAGATGATCAATCGACTTCTTTAGAGAAAAATATAAATTTGTTGACTTTCTAGTTGAATACAAATGGAGAGCTGCTTGCCAGGAAATCCTAGAGTTACCAAATTGGTTCTGATCAATCATAACTTTTATTCATATTTGCTCATATTTCACTCATCTCTTCTCCTTTTTCTACTTCTATCAAAGGCATCGTTTATCAATGTTAAATCTGAGATGCATGGCTCTACCTGTTATCAGTGTCTGTGATATATGGTTTAATATTGAAGCCCTAAAAAAATTGCGCTTCAAAATAATCATGAAGTGCCTCAAAAAAGTAAAAAATCTTTGAGTGACCGGTTTTACCATACTCATTTTCCTCAATAGACTGTAGTGTTATAAAAACCGTTAGGAAACAATCATAAATATCTTGATAATCAGACAGACGATGTAAAAGTCATGGGATTCCTGACTGACCTAAAGGTTTTAAAAATTATGATTGCACCATGAGCTAAATCCAGGATTTTGTTTCAGAATCTGAGACAATGTTACCGAGTCACTTTTAAAGCCAACTTGATGCCAGGATGGCCTTCCCCATAAATGCAAGTGTATGAGATGAATCACTTTACTTGTATATCGAAATCCGTGGATGAACCCTCCGGCTGACTTCTTGAAGTCGATAGAATGAGTGTTGGTTCCTGCAAAGAACATCCCTCTGATCCCTGCAGCCTCGTAATTGGCCTTTACGAACGGGTACTTCTTGGTCCGTTTCTTCGACCCTGGTTGGGGTGCTGTAGAACTACAGAGATAAAAGGTGTAGGGTAAGGATTAGTGTAAGGGTTAATGTTACTGTTAGTTCGTTTCTTCGACCCTGGTTGGGGTGCTGTAGAACAGAAGGAAGAAAATTGGATGATCTGACATTTGTTCAAAAGGTTTATTATATGAATGATAGAGGGAAAGGTCAGGATTGCAATAGGATTTCAGACTAGGTTTAGAGTTCGGTTTAGGTTTGGTTTTAAGGTTAGTGTGAGGGTTAATGTTTCTGTTAGTGTTAGGGTTGGTGTTAGGGTTACTGTTAGGGTAAGCGTTAGTATTAGACTTAGCATTAACGTTAATTTTAGAATTAATTTTAGTTTCAGTGTTAGGATTAGTGTTAGTGTAAGGGTTAGTGTTAGGGTTAAGGTTATTATTAGGGTTAGTGTTGGGGTTAGTAAATTTTTCACAAAGCTATCTTGGATGTTAAAAACAATAATATTTTTCCTTTATTCTTCCTCTACTCATGCATTTGCCATATTTTTAGGGCTCTGAATTATAAATAATTGAACCAAACCACAAATGTGGTATGATTGTAGCGAAAGGGTTAAAGTACCATGAACTGACAGAATAATGGAAAGATCTTGGCAGAAACAGAGAAAGTCTTAGTAAACATAAACGACTTCTTCACATTTTCTAGTAATCTGATCCAAATTCCATGAAATGAGTATTATACACATACATGTACTGTACATGGACATTTCAATCAGTACAAAATAGGTATTATGAAAAAGATTACGCGCTCCAGTTTTCATCTAAAATACTTGACAATGGTTTGAAATGAAATTTTTCCTGAAAGAAAAAATAGGAAAACTTACTTTTCAAATATTGAGAAATCAAAAGTAAAACCAAGGCACCGGATCACTTTGTCATAAGGGTGTCGTAACGCAAAGTTATCGATCACAAGCTTGTCTGCAATCGTGAGATCCCCATCCTGGGGGATAAGCTGAAGGCGGCCATCTGACCGCTTGACCAGGGAGAGTTCCACCATGTCCGCCTCTAACAGACCGTCCAGAGACTTGAGCTGATAGGTGTCCAGTAACCCATTGTTGATAGCTCTGGATGGATAACAGATCAAATCGTGAGGAAAGTTTTATTAACATTTTAGTTCGGATGTGAAAATAATTTGAATTAGTTTAAATTGTTTATCCTCCTTCTCCTCCTCTCTTTCTTCTTCTCCTTCTTCTTTTGTACTTATTATCATTTCTATCATCAGTTTATTGTTCTTCTTATTATTATCATCATTATTTTCTTATTTCCATAAGCTTTCATACAGGAGCTGCCACATTCACACACAATGTGAGTTTAAGTTCACGACAATGTGGTAGTTAACTTGAATATCTGAAATTGATGATACTTGAGTACTCATATATCCAAGAAAACTTGTTACACTCAATTTTAGACTAAATATAAGACTGAATATTAGTAAAAAGGGTTCTGAATGCTGTGGAAAAGCACAATAGGTAAAGTAAAGTAGTTGTCAAGGAGATAATTATATTTTGAAATAATTCAGATATTTACTGCATCTTTCTGTGCTGTTAGGAAGACATCTCCTAATCCATGTTAAATCAATAAAACCTTCATGGCAAATTGAAAGAACATCAAATAGAAGTTTTCAGAAATATGAATAGATATATGATAAACTATACTGAGAGGAAATACTATTTCTAGATGCTATATAGTACATTAAAAGTTTGAGAATATAAAGTTAATGTGGTTTGATTAGCAAGTGGCGCTTGTAAAATGGTGACTGGCTGGAATGCTCCCAAGGGAGCGGAAAATGTGCATACATTGTGTGCGGGTAACCCTGAATCCGATGACCGGAGTAATAATATGTGCTGCGCCTAGAAACAAAGTTTTAGGCGCATTATAAAATGTGAGCTATTATTATTATTGTTATTAATGTCCAGTTAAACAGATCACTTGATTCTATTAGATATAACATACCTCAGATCACCCACATAGTGCGTCTCCCACGCCATTTTGACCCTTGATCTCCCCATGACGTGGATGACATTGGTCGAGCCGATGATGTGGTCTGCCGTCTCAAAGGCGGAGTTGCCCCGCCCGAGGATGAGGACGCTCTTTCCCTCAAAGTCATCGCGGTCCAGGGACATGTCCTCGTAGCCTTCCGTGTACTCCTGGCCCTGGAAGGTGGGAATGTTGGGTTTGTGCATCCCTGTACTAATGACCATGACTCTGTATAGACAAAAAATAGAAATGAGAGGGAAATTGCAGGTAAGTAATGATAACGATTACCATAATAATAATAATGATTATAATAATAACAATGATGATGATAATAACAATGATGATGATAATAATCACAATGATGATGATCATAATCACAATGATGATGATCATAATCACAATGATGATGATCATAATCACAATGATGATGATCATAATCACAATGATGATGATTATGATAATAATAACAATAATGATGATCATAATCACAATGATGATGATTATGATAATAACAATAATGATGATAATAATAACAATGATGATGATCATAATAACAATGATGATGATCATAATAACAATGATGATGATCATAATAACAATGATGATGATCTTAATAACAATGATGATGGTCATAATAACAATGATGATGGTCATAATAACAATGATGATGGTCATAATAACAATGATGATGATCATAATTTGTCTTTTATCCATTTAGAAACTCAATGTGAGATGAAATTGATGGTTGAGAGCCTGAGGGTATTAATCTTTATGGCTCTAAGTTGAAGAAATATAAATCCCTCAAAAAAAGTTTGAAAACTCAAGCTTGATAGAATATATCTCCCTGAATACGGCATAATCATCACTATGTTACGTATTATTAGAAATTATGTATATGTCTTTAAGATGATACTATAGGGCAATTCCACGGTAACGGAAGGACACTCAGACAAGATTTTTGAACTTCAGGTTCATACTAAAAGAACTGTTTTATTAGTATAAGATGTGAAACAGTACAGATATAATACCTATATAAGTGCCTTTAATTCTCCCAAAAAAAATTGTCATTATGGTTAAGTAGTTTAAGAATGTGCATATTAATTATCTCGGTAACGGAAGGACATAAAAATGGACATGGTTTTTCCAGTTAATTAGTGTTTATCCAAACTTTGTGAAGTTGATGAAGCTTTCCACTTGACTGAAACACATTTTGTTCCCCGTAGTTTAATACATACTAATAAAACATTTCTTTTAGTATGAACCTGAAGTTCAAAAATCTTGTCTGAGTGTCCTTCCGTTACCGTGGAATTGCCCTATATTTGTTATGATTTTGCAGCCATAAAATGAGCAGTACATCAAAATAAGGGGCTGGGATCAAAGTGACAAATTGCAAATAATCAAACTATTGTCATTCTGTATCTCTTATTTTTCTGCTTTCATAAAAATGAACGTATTGCAAAGGTCGGATTGTCCTTTAAGTATTTCAATATTACATGGAAGTGTTCAGGCAGAATGAGAGGAGAGAAGGTAAATTGGGCAACATTTGAATTAAGTACACGGATAAGAGAGCGAGTAAGACAGCAATAAAAATGGGCGAAAGAAATAAGAAAGAAAAGAGAAAATAAGAGAGAAAAGAGAAATAAGAAATAAAGACAAGAAAATAGAAATAGAGAAAAATGGAAAAGGTAGTGTGCAGGCAGAGTGGGAGAAAAGGGAGAGGGGTAGAATGAGCAACACTTCAATTAAGTACATGGATATGAGAGCGAGTAATACAGCAATAAAAGGGGCAAAATAAATTAAGAAAGAAAAGAAAAAAGAAAACGAGAAAGGAGAAAATAAGAAATAAAAAAAATAAGAAAACGAGAAATGGAAAAATAAATAGAGAAAAACGGAAAAGATAAAAGAGAGAAATAGAGTAAACAAGATGATTAGAAAATGAGAGGGAAGAGAAAGTGAAGAGGAAGAAAGAAAACAAGAAGATAGACGGAAAGAAGGGAGGGGTAAAAAGAGACTGGTTAGTCACAGAGACAGGTAAGGAAGCCGACGTTCATATTTTACGGTAACACTTTCAAGTATAAAGTCGACCTTCATTCGTAGCCTCTTCATGTGTACATCTATTACACGCACCCCGAGGACACGGGAGAAAGAAGAACGCTCCAGACGGAGTAATTGTTTGAAGCCGCATAAATTTTGTGAATAGCGCGGTGCTCAATTAAACTCGAAGCGTGCCCACAGCACCGGCAGGTGGCTGAGACGAGAGAGTTGTTTACTTCAAGATGATGCCCAGTGTTAAGAGATGTAGATGGTTTTTCGTAATCAGTATAAAGTGTAAGTGCAATCGGATGAGTAGCGTGTGGGCATACATGTCCTTTCTTCATCTCTCTGTCTGGTTCCCTTTCTAACTTTATTTTTTCAATACACTTACTCATTCTCTTTCTTACTCTTTCTCACTCTCTCTCTCTCTCTGTCTCTCACTCTGTCTCCCACTCTCTTTCTTCCTCTCTCTCTCTTTCCCGTTATGTTTCTTTTTCACTCTCTATTTCCCACTCTCTTCTTCATTCTCTCTCATTATCGTTTGTCCTCTCTCTCTCTCTCTCTCTCTCACTCTGTCTCTCACTCTTTCTTCCTCTCTCTCTCTCTTTCCCACTATGTTTCTTTTTCACTCTCTTCTTCATTCTCTCTCACTATCTTTCTTCCTCTCTCTCTCTCTCTCTCTCTCTCTCTCTTTCCCACTTTGTTTCTTCCTCACTCCCTCACTCAAGATGATGTCCAGTGCAAAGAGACGTAGATGCAATTGCTTAGAAATGTCCATGGAGAAGATCTGTCCTCCGTTTTTTGTAATCAGTAGGTGTAACTGCAATAGGATGAGTAACGTGTGGACATACGTGTAATCTTTTCATCTCTCTGTCTGGTTCCCTTTCTAACTTTATTTTTTTCCACACACTTATTCACTCTCTTTCCCATTCTGTTACTCTTACTCTTACTCTTTCTCACTCTCGTTCTCACTCTCATTCTCACTCTCCCTTTCCCACTTTGTTTCTTTCTCACTCCCTCTTTCTCACTCTCTTCTTCAATCTATCTCTCTCATTCTCAGTCTCTCTCTCCCCTCTCTTTCGTTCTTCCTCTCTCTCTTTCTCTTTCAACTGATCCCTCTTTCCCACTCTCTTCATCATTCTATCTATCTCATTCTCAGTCTCTCTCTCCCTCTCACTTTTTTAATCATTCTCTCCCACTATCCTTCTCTTTTTTTGTCTCTTCCCTCAACCTACCTTTTTTTACACTCTTTCTTTAAAGGATAGATAACAATAAAAAACCTGTACAGTATACATCCAAGTCAAATCTGCTTTTTAAAAGCTACCTGACAGAAAGAGCACTGGGTTTAAAAAAAAAAAAATCAATTTATGTTTCCCATAAGAACCTCTTAAAAAAAGGGAAATTGTATTTAAAAACACATTCAAGTGATTCTATTTGAATTTGTACAGAATAACTATTCATATATATACATATGGCCTCAAAACTACTGTTATGCAAAAGTTGTTCTACAAGGCCAATTTCAGGCTATATTTGAAGCTCTCCCCATTCTTCCTTTTTATACATGTACATAAAGATAATATTATACCTACAGGCCAACATCATATACTCAAACCGAATCGTTTGTTATGGCTATGAAAATGAAATAAATAATACATTTGTCAAGTACATGTATAACTGTATGTACATTTTAGAAATAGAATGAAAAATCACCTTCCTTTAAAACTCCTTTCCTTGTTTCTCTTGAGCTGTTTTAGTTTACACTTTACAGGGTTGCTTAATTACTGTAAACATATGGTTAAATTGATTGATTGATTTGTTATTCGCCAAGCTTCCGACATACAACAATATACAAGAATAACAGATAAAAATTAAGTCAGTGTGAACAGGATAGCCAAGAAAGCTTGAGAGCTTATTTCCAGCGGTGTCCGCAACATACAGTGTACATGTACATAAATTAGTAAGTTAGAATAGCAATATTTACAGACAGATAATTAAGGAAAAAAAATTATTAAAGATAATTTTGATGATAATAATAATAATAACAACATTAAACTGATAGAAATGATAATAAGTACAAGAAGAAGGAGAAGAAAAAAGAGGAGGAGAAGAAGGAGGAAGAGGAAAATAATGATGAATATGAATAGGTAGTATTGCTAACATCATGCCTACAAGTGTGTGTAAAATAAATTGTGTATGTACCTTCAGCTTTTCGAAATGTCTGACCTTTGCAATACGGTAGACCACCAAATTAATCACAAAGCTTTGTTTTTTATTTCTTCATGCATGAATATTATGCAGGCACGGCTGAACAAATTGATCAAATCTACCGCCAATATTGCATTTGGTAATTTCTTGGGTAAGGCTTGTTGATAACGAATGAAAAAAAAACAATCTCCAGCAAATGGCAATATCATTTGAATGGTACTGGCTGCCTGTATGGATGTACATGTAACCTTTCGGTAAATGTTGTGTGTTGTTTAGATGAATAAAGAATGGAGTGCATTGTACATGAACAGCAACACACAAAATGTTACATGTTTATTCTGGTGAAATATTTAATGTACATGTGTAAATCCATTCTTGCACTTTTTATCTAATATAGGTAGATATGTTGTAAAGGGTTGTGATTTACATGTATACCAGTGGTGATAGTGAGCACTAAAAAAAGAATAGGTTTTTTGTTTTCCCCTCAACCACGCCCCCCTTGAGTAAAAAAAAAAAAGAGGATTCGCGGGGAAAATATGGCATCTAACAACATTCCCCCCATTTTGAGTAAGAAAATTGGGACAAAATTGGGGGGGGGGGGGGGGGGGGAAATAGGGCAAAATAGGGAAGAATAGAGAAAATAAGAGGGAAATCGGGAAAATCAGGATAAAATAGGGAAGGAAAAAAAATTGGTAAAAAAAAAAAAAAAAAAAAATCTGGATTTTTTTTTTTTTTTTAATCGGGAAGAAAAAAAAAATTGGGGAAAAAAATTGGGAAACCAATTTAAATCAGGTTTTTATCAGGCCTGGTATACGTAGGTTAGGTTACTCATTATATACGATTGTCACCCTCTGGCTATAGACTTATACATGTACCACAATCTAACCCCCCCCCCCCCCCCCCCCCCCACCCCTTGCCTCTCTCTCCCTTTCTCTCACTCTTTCATCTCCCCTATCTCTCCTTTTCTCTCTCTCTCTCTCTCTCTCCCTCTATTTCACTCTTTCTTTCTCTCTAGTCTCTATCCTCATCCTGAAATCTCTTTCTCTTTAACTATCTTGCATTCACCTTCCCTATAACTCTCTCTGTCTCTCTCCCTCTCACTAACTCTCTCCCTTGTGTTCAACATCTACAGAGCAATGCTCTTAAACTATCTTCTTTAATGCTATGAAATAAAACAACCTGCAAATCTATCAAATCTGAAAACACCATATGGCACAGTATTTGTTTGTGTGTTCTGGTTTCTATAACTTACGTTGAAAAGCAAGGTTTTATGTAAGATGGATTGTATCTCTCTCTCTCTCTTTCAGCCATATTACATTGCATCAAAACAGGCAATAGAAGCCACACATCAATTACCATGCACCTCTCCCGCTCTTGCAATCAACTGGAGGCTATTGGTATGATCAAACTTCCAGGGAAAGAATCATTTGGCTTGGGATGGACAAAGTACATGTGCATGTATCTACTCAATGTTGCACTAATCAAACTCACTTTGCCCCAACATTTATGAAACAGTCATTTTGACAATGACCCAGAAAGAAAAGGTCAAATGTACACAGAAGTGGTTAGGATGGATTCCTATGCTCATTGAGTACCATGCTGTGTTATATCCTATTAACAATAATTGTCAAATTTGGGTATGGGGGAAAAAGTAGATTTGAATATTTCAATATTTATTTATTTATTTATTTATTTATTTATTTATTTATTTATTTAAAAATATTTATACAGGATGCCAATATCAACCAAGGCTGTTTTTCATATTGGTCCTGTATGCTGCCACTTTCAGTATTTTGAATGCTCAATTTCAAGTTTAGAATTCCTGACATCAAATGACACATGGCCAAGCAACACATACACATTTTTACTCTGTTTTTCACTCTTTAGAGCTCACGTTAGTGATCGCTCAATTTATATTTTAGAGAGAGAGAGAGAGAGAGAGAGAGAATAACCTGTTCTTATCGAACAAAACACAGAGTAACATAGAAAACATCAACTCAAGAAAGTAATGGAAAATGCACAAATCAAATGAAATATAACGATATGCGGCTTCCTATTGCCTGTTTTGATGCACTGTATTAAATATTGTTGAAAAATCACTTTTCAATGTATAAGTTATACAAACCAGAACACACAAACAAATACTGTACCATATGGTATTCTCAGATTTGATAGATTTGCAGGTTGTTTTATTTCATAGCATTAAGGAAGATAGAAAAACCAAAAATTTGAATTTTACCCTAAATAAAGGGTTCCTTTTTTTTTTGCATATATCTACCTTGGTTGCAGGGGACTACATATAAACATGCATGGGTACAATGAACAAATAGGATATGGATAACATTGAAAAATACACACACCTGGGGCAAAATAAGTTTATGTAATTTCAAATCTTTATTATATTCATCACATTTTGTTTCACTATTTTGGGGGAGATATCTCTACAAACTCATTTATTTGGGTTTTTATAACTTGTTCCATTATTGTTTAATATCTTAATGTACTTATGTATATTCTAGAAGTGAAAGATTTTTCATGTTATTTATAGTACCTTTTGCAAATGTATGTGTTCTTGTAATGTGTTCTTGTAATGTGTTCTTGTAATGTAATTTTTATGGAAATGAATAAACTTAATTGAATTAATTGAATAATAATAATTAAACACAAAAAAGTTTATTTTCTTTCATCCTTGATAAAAGGTTCTTCTATATGTCTACCCTAATTGCAAAAGGCAACATGAAATGGGTACAATGAACAAAAACAAAAAACAATGGCAACAATGGAAAATGCACATTATCAAATGAATAATGATATTAAACCTGAAACAAGAAAACATGGAATTTTATCCTTGAAAGTACATTTTTTCTTTCTTCACATACCTGCACTGGTAGCCGTTGCCATGTTGGTCTTGCATAGTGAAGTACTGCCCACTCAGGTTGGGCGGTTCGTGTCGTGCTATATCCGAGATCTCGGTGTTATACTGGACATTGAGGCCAAGTTTGGTTGTGTAATCATTCAGGTACTTGACGTAGGTGTCTGCATCAGGGAAGAACTCCTTGGAGTAGTGCCTGGGAGAGGATCAAGAAATGACAGTTATCTTTCTTTAAAGGTATCGTTTAACCATGTTAAATCTGAAATGCATGGCCGTAAGTGTTATCTGTGTCTGTGGTATGGTGTAATTTTGAAGCCCTAGAAAAATTGCACTTCAAAATGGTCATGAAGTGCCTTAAAAAAGTAAAACATTTTGAGTGACCAGTTTTACCATACCGGTACTCATTTCCCCCAATGGACCAGAGTGTTGTTTTAAAGTCGCATATGCATCCAATATGTTCATTTGAACCCTGGCAAATTCATGACCCCATATCAAAACTTTGCATTACCTTTAACTACTCTTTTTCTGAAATAAATAACAAAGGTATTGACCAATAATAATAAAGCAATTGATTGGGCAGCATTCAAAGGAACCTAATTTTTCATCCCAAACAATAACCATATGTTACATGTATGCTTCATGTACCTGCCATTTCTAAAATGTGCAGTACTTTCCACATCAAACATTTTCTTGGACAATTTTCAAAAGGGAAAGATTCATCTCTTTTTTTCCTTCAATTTCTTAGAAATTAGCTGAACTTCAAAATATTACATAAGGAAGATACATGTACTGTTCTCTTACTTCATGAGTATTAAAATTGTCATCATATATAACATATTTTCTTGAATAGATTTTTACACAGGAGATTTTCAGATCTTTTTCTATTTCTTCCAAATTAGTAGAACTTGAGAAGACAAGGAAATAACTTAACCTAAATCAAAACCCTTTACTAAATAGATATTAGATAAAAAGTGAAAGAATGGATTTACATTAAATATTTCAGCTGATATGTACATTTACTATACTTCATGAGTAAACTCTTATCACCCCTGAAGTAAGGGATTCTACACCAGATTTTCTTTAGCAAATTTTTCAAAAGGAAATACTTGTCTATTTTTTCTTTCTTTTTTTCTCACAGAAAATTAGCAGAACTTGATAAAAACGAAAGGAAAATGTACTTACTTCATGAGTAAACTTTCATCGTCACTGAGAAGAGAATTCCAGTCATGTCTCATATTGAACTCTTTGTTCGTCTTTCCTGTGTGTCTCTTGTTGATGCTGATCAGCTTCCGATGGCGGGGGTAGGTGTTGAAAAATGACCCGCTCATGTTTGCCTTCTCAAAAATGACATAATTGCGCCCCGCCCTCTCCAAGAAGAACCCCATCTGCAAGCCGGAGGGACCCGCCCCAACGACGCAGTAGTTCCATTTTTGCGCCGACGATTCTTCGGTGAGATACGCTGGGATGAGGAAGGTACATAATAGAAATGGGAGAATCATCTGAAGAAAAGCCATGATGATGTTCACCGGCAAGCAGCCAGCTAGAATGAAATCAATTTGTTAAATCCTGGAGAGATATATATAACCGTTTGGTTACGACCATATGTTTGAAATCTCTCTGGTGTCCTAGAAGAATACCAGCAAGACTGATCACAATCCACAGTATGATGAATGGCTGTGAGTATTGATATCTCGTGCAAGGATCCAGGCAAGTTCTTTATTGTATCAAATCAAAATGGAATATGATGCATGTTCTACCACGGGTATATTCTCTCTCTTGGGGAAATGTAATAAAGCCAGGGAGAGCGAGAGTGAGAGAGGGAGGGAGAGAGAGAGAGTTGTTGCCATTGAATGTTTCCCCAAGTCGAAAATCAAATCAAACCTCCTGCATAGATGGGTAGCAGTGTACCAGATCGAAACAACCAGAGACACTGCGCATGTCTCTGTGCGACTGTGCGTGTGTGTTTGGAGAGCGATTTGTTTTACCTGCTCCTGTGAGCGTGAAATGACTGTTTGTCGAAGCGCCGCACAGCTGTGCGTCGGTGGACTCCCCTCTCCTCAATTATGGATGCAGCGGAGCGTCCAAGCACCGTCCTCCTCGGCAAGCCTTGCGTAAACTCTCCCCCGCCGGGATGCGCTCCTCCTGTATACTCCGACACTGTTTTAAACCCGAGACGGAGCGATGATGAATAATTGATGACGAGTGGGTGAGGATGACATCTCAATGCAACCTGCCGTGGGGGACGTTACCGGACGACTCGGATCAGGAAAGACGACACCGCTCGTTGTCAGTCCATGCATGCACTGATTTTGTGCGCAATTACATGTAATCCTCCGCGTACCAGAAGCAGGGCTACATGATCCGTTTACAGATTAATGACTTGTGTTTTTACCACTCGCTACACTCGACGGCACATGCTGTCTTGTAGGTGTCAATTTTAAATTGAGACGTCTTTGGGTTCGTCCATTAATACTGATGACTAGATGCACTGCATGTATGTAGTGTAAACCTGTAAGAAAAATTCGAAATCAAAGATTTAATCATTTTTCTCAAACATGAGGATCACTGAGACATACTTGCAGTTATCATTTGAGAAATATGATGTCCTCTAATTTCATCATAAGGTGAGGAATTAACACTTGAAATGGAACTCGAAAAGAAAAAAAATCTGAATGAATATAAATCAGAAGAACATAAAACATGAATTATAAATTATCCTTTAAATTGAATCTTACAGTAGAAGAAAAAACACACTCCTTTTTGTAATACATCTAGTTAATTGAACCACATTGTTTTTAAAACAAAATATGTAATTTGCCAATAATTTCATAGGCTTCAAAGTGGAAGCGCAGGCCTGCATTCTAAATACAATCATATGTGAACATGGGTTGCATTGCAATATTTACACAAAATGAAATTTGAAAGCAATCATGAAACATTCAATGCTTTAATACTCATTTAAGTGTCAATATACAGTAGACAGTAAAAAGGAAAAGGCCGTAACCCCAAATTCCAAATAAAAAAAAAAGAATGCACATACTATAATGGTTCTTTTAAAATATATTGAATATACAATTAATCAATCTCAACAATATTTGCATTACCATTCATGAATTCAATTTTCCCCCCAATAATATAGCTAGACACAGTCAATGCCCAACAGCAAAGGATGTTATTTCAGCATCAGGATGTGTCTATATAAAAACTATTAATTAATTTTGCATAGCTCTACTGAGTATTGAACAGGAAATGGTCATCGCTTCGAGATATTTTTTTGTAAATATGGGAAGGTTTTGGGGAAGAAGGGTGAATTCCTCAGTGTATTCTGCCCACGACCAGTATATGAAAATAAGCACCTGCTTTAATGTTTGATGAGGGGAGGTGTGAAGTGGCACAGCCTTGTCCCATAGGTAATGTCTGCAGAGGGGTACCCCCTTTCACACAAGAAAAACTAAATGTACATAATCTGATAAATGATAAGTCTGCAGTTCTCTACATATATATACATGTATATATTTATATATGTGAATGATTGGTCTATAATTTTTTTTTCAATGTGAACAAGCCACCACGATTTAAAAAAAGAAGATATTTGTTATCATTTTCTCTCAGTTCAAATACATGCATACAATTACATGAACAAATCATTCATATTAAACACAATTGTACATATTCTTCATAACAAAACTAGATGAACTGTACATTGATATTTTAGCTTTTATAAATTGCAATAATAAAAGGAACATTTTCATAAACTGTTTAGAAAACATTTTCATATTTATATATATGATCAAAGAACATATTTGAGAATAAAGAATGCTTTAGCAGCCATGCATGAAGTCGTTCGTCTATGGCTGATCTTCAACGAAACAGAGTTTAGTCTTTTGTCCATTCCGTTTGTTGCTACGGAAGGCAGCCAGTGAAAACGAATTTGTTTAATGTAATTATGGAAATGCAAGCATCACTTTAAACAAACAGAACTTTCCTATTCCTTGCTCTTTTTCCCTGATTGAGGTGTCATATTAAAGGGCAAAAACTGAACTTTCTAGAATATGATTTTCTCTTTGAATTCAGATACCGTCAGCCAAATTACTTTTTGATTCCCTCTCTTCAACTTAATTTTAATCACTCATGCGTGAAAAATGTATCATAAGAGTTGCATCAAATGAAAGAGGAGGGTCTAAGCTTTACAAATATGGGTCATTTATAAATTATAATTGTGATTAAGTTAGGATAAAACATCGATAATTCTCGGTTTCGTTTTTTCTGGGACGCACTGTGTAGAATTACTTTTAATCTTCTTGAAGACCTGGAGAATCTCTTCCACTGAAAGCTGTCCCAATCATTGTTTTTCTTAACACTGTCACCTTGCAAAACTGTCAGCAGGATATTATGCACAACTGACCATTATACCTTTCCTGTTTTGTAAATACTGATAAGGTATCAGTTCTTGCAAGGATGATCTTCATACAAGGTTCATCATTAAATACAGATGGTTCTCTACATGACTTATACATGTACAATCATAATTGAAATAAACACCTTCCTATCAGGATATTATGGTACGAGGCCATTGTGAAAAACATAGCGATTACCTAAAGCAATGAAAACATTCTTAGGGCAATGTTTTATTTAAGAACCTAATAAAGGGTTGAACTTCAAATAGTGCAAGAACTTTGCATGCAGCTCCACATTTCCATTACAATGAATTGAAGTCCATCCTGATTTTAAGGTTGGATTTTATAATAATAGAAGCAGAAAAATATAGAAACAGCTCAGTAAAACCAATTTAAACCAATTAAAACAATTTAAAAATAAGAAAGTTATCAATTTTTAAAGGTCTGATTAATCAAAAACAAATTGGCAACTCTGTGATGTATCTTGAAACGTCCCTCTCATTTGTCCTACCGGTATACTAAAAAACTTCAAAAGTGCATGTTTTCCCTTAAAGGGAACCTCACCCCAAAGGATAAAGGAGGTATTCTGAAAATGAGGTGTATTACTGTCCTATGATGTATAAAATTCCTTACGAAAATGTACAAGAGATATCAATACAGATATTCTTGGCATGATGTGATACCTTTTAGTATGACATGGGCGCAGCCATTTTCTTGAAAATGTGATGTACCAGTTGAAGTTGTACATGTACATGTACCGGTATATCATGCACCAAGCTTTTAAGTACCGGTAGTAGGAAAGACTTTTAAAATCAATAAAAAAAAAAAACTTTACTTTACAATGAGGAAAAATCATAGCTGAGAAGATGGGAATTAAATTTGGTGAAAAATATATATCAGGGGAACAATTGTAACTACATGTAGTTCATTTTAAAAAAATACTAAAATATAGCAATTGACAAATCTATTTCATTTATCAAAAACTTTCTCCACAGAAAACCACCAACTTATTTATGCAATTTGCGTTTTGGCAATTGTAGTACAAAAGATAACAGCAGGTGAATGAAATGCTTCATCACCACACACACCTGGGAATGAAGCATCCATAAATTTGAATACATTTACTTGATTAATGACTTCACATACGTATGTAGTACATGTACGTCAAGATATCAAGAAAATGGTGATGCCCATGTCATGCTGAGAAACTTTACATTATTCTTGCTTTTGCAAATTGCACACTTTTTTTTCCAAATGATTGTTTTTATACATTTCACTGAAGTGTTTAGAGCCAGGAGGGCACAAACTCACAGACTTTAAAACCGAGTTAATGCCCTTTTGACTTTATATGATATCTTTATTCAACCTTCATCCTTTTTGTATGCCCCTTTCTATCATGTACATCAATGGATCATTAAAATCATTCTGTGTGTATATGCCCCTTTCTTTCATACATGTACATGTACATGCAAAATCAAACTCAACTCAACTCAACTCAACTCAACCCAACCCAACTCAACTCAACTCAACTCAACTCAACTCAACTCAACTCAACTCAAAATATTGCAAATCATTGTATCATTTACATGTATACCTGAGATATGTCTGTTTTGGGCCAGAAGGGCGTAAACACATATGTACACGTACGTTAATACAGAGTTAATGCCCTCATGGCTCTCAAAAGAAATAGTGGGTTTTTTACACAAAATGTATTCACCATAAATTTCTCGCTGACGCAGAAAGCTCCTTGGAAAGAATCAAAGTATAAAACGCTGTTGAAGGAAGAGGCGAGCCTCTTCAAATTACAGCATCGCCTAATCTTTGATTTCCTGCGGCCGGCCGCTCTCTGCCACGGCTATTGCTCTCAGACAGAAGTGTTATCGCCATGGATACCATCGATCGCTCGTCTGTGTGAATAACTGACATTTCCTAATGGTATGTCAACACGGTGTGAACACGATCGACGTAGTCCGATATGCTTTCGCAAATCTGTTCGGCGCTCATGTTTCAAGACACGAGTGATAGGTTGGTTTTAACGTATCTATTAAAGCTAAAGTGTACAGCGCTTGAGGATCTGTAGTTTCAAACCGATACTGTGTTAGGAGGATGAGAGAAATCCTGAAAGGATGTTAACCCAGCATGTATTTACATTATACCACAACCGGAACTACATGTAGTTGGGCTCATTTCCTCTCCAATTCTGTGAAGATTAAAGCTTCATGTAAAAACAAGGGAAATGCTCTCGGCGGTCTCGCCTGCATAACGCAATTCAATATGATAAACCTGAACGTCAATGACGTAGCACTCATCCGCATCTCGCAACAACAAATATTGTAAATTTTATGTGGTACACTTTTGAACTGGTCAAAAAATAAAAATTTGATGCCCTGGAAGGGACATAATTTCATTTCATTTGCATAAAGTACCATAAATATTCAATGGAGCAAAATCTCAAAATTCTGTGTAGATGTTTAGTGTTTCAAATTTAGCTCTACCAGATAAGGCACACCAAGTCAAAATCAGTCAAGAAATGAGGGAGAAGCAACTTTTGTTATTTTTGGAATAAATTTGCATAAATTACCATAATTAATTAGTGGAGAACAATTTCAAAATTCGGTGTAGAAGTTTAGTGTACCAAAGTTAGCTCTACCAGTTAAAGCAAACCAAATCAAAATCGGTCGAGAAATGAAGGAGAAGAAGCATTTTTCGTGATTTCGAATAAATTTGCATAAATTAGCATAGATAATAAAATTCACGATTCTGTGTAGAAGTTTTAAATCCCCCTCCTAGCCCTATCATATAAAACAATCAGAATCAAAATCGGTTGAAAAATAACGAAGAAGAAGCATTTTTCGATTTTTCAAGTTTTCGATGATGATGTTACAACATAGTCCAAGTCTGTTGACCTGAAATGACCTTTGACCTTGACTTTGTGATCTGAAATTCTACTCACATGATTGGGGATACTTGATTACTCTATAGTCAAAGTTTCATTGACTAAGAACTGATACTTTAAAAATTATATCAAAAATTCAAAAACTTAACCTTAGGTTAAGTTTTTGATGTTGACGCCGCCGCCGCCGCCGCCATTGCCGTCACCGGAAAAGCGGCG